CACACACACACTCCCCCACACACACACACAGATACACACACACACTCCCCCACACACACACACACAGATATACACACACACACACATACACACACACACACTCACTCACTCACAAATACAGAGATACACACACTCACAGAAACATACACACACATAGACACACACACACACACACACACACAAAGATACACACACACACACAAAAAAACAGAAACACACACACACACAGACACAGAGATACACATACACACACACACACACACAGACACTTTACTGACAAATAGCTCGGTAATTCATGTGCTGCAGAACATTCACAAGCACTTAAACATCCTGATATATAAATATGGTTTATATTATTCAAAATTATGGTACATGAGCAGTAGCAGAGTTTTCCAGTGCAAGAGAAGCAGATGCTTTTTAAGAAGAGTTCAGCGACTCTCTGATTCATGACACTTACAGACAGGGCCGAGCTCATCCAGACGGTCAAACGAACACACACCGGTGGAGCCGAGCGTCGCACACAGCTGCAGGGGACACACACACACACACACACTCAGTCACACAGCAGCACAGTAACCAACTCAACGGCTGATTAGCTGAGGCTCATTCACCATCACAGGCACAAATCCTCTCCTGCGGTCCTCCTCGATGGCGTGCTGAAGGGTTTCTCCACGCAGAGAAAACGCCTCGTCCGTCTCCAGGAATCTGATCTTCACCAGAGTGATCAGACCGGCCTTCTCCACTGACGAATGAGCCTACAGAACAAAACACACTCTCATTCATGATGAACCCCAAGACACTTTCAGAAGGAACCGTCAAAGAGCAGCATTGTGTGAACAGGTCGTTCTGATTGCTGATGAAGCACCTGATCGGAGGCGTATGCGATGAGTCTGGAGTTCAGCACTGACTCGTCCGTGTCGGCGTGTGTGCATTCACTCTTCATCTGCAGGATTCGGTCTTTCCTCGCGGCGAGCAGAGCGACCAGCGTACACTCACTGACCGTACTCTACACACAGCAATGACTTACAGACATTTCTACTGTAAAAGTCAACAGAAAACATGCAGATTGGCACGTCAGTTGTGATGTGTGTTTTATACCTGCAGGATTCCTCCTCCGCTGCTCTGTGGATGATGGTGTAAATAATGATCTGGCAACCCGAGCGCTTTACACAACCAGTCCAACACACACATCTCCAGCTCAGTGCACGCTGGACTAGACGCCTGCACAACACACACTATTCAACATGACGTGTAAGGCTGACATAGAGATTGTTGTGTGTGTGTGTATGTTTTTACCCAGGTGAAGCCGAGGCAGTTGATGGCGTCTGCCAGCATGTCACCCAGCAGAGACGGCCATGAGGTGAGCGCAGGGAAATACGCATGCATGTGAGGACTCTGCCAATGAACAACCTACAGACAGACAGGAGCATTACAGCATACTGGAGTTCAACAGGACAGACAGATGCACAGACAGACAGATGGACAGAGAGACAGATAGATGAACAGACAGACGGACGGATCACACAGACAGGAGGACGGACGGATAGACAGACAGCAGGACAGACAGACAGACGAACAGACAGACAGAGAGACAGACAGACAGATGGAGAGACAGACAGACAGGAGCATTACAGCATACTGGAGTTCAACAGGACAGACAGAAGCAGAGACAGACAGACAGACAGACAGATGCAGAGACAGACAGACAGACAGACAGACAGACGCAGAGACAGAGAGATGAACAGACAGATGAACAGACAGACAGATGGACGGAGAGACAGACAGATGAACAGACAGATGCACAGACAGACAGACAGATGGACGGAGAGACAGACAGATGCACAGACAGACGGATAGATGGAGAGACAGACAGATGAACAGACAAACAGACGGATGGACGGAGAGACAGACTGAGAGACAGACAGACAGACGGATGGACGGAGAGACAGACAGACAGACAGACGAGGGTTTCTCCACGCAGAGAAAACGCCTCGTCCGTCTCCAGGAATCTGATCTTCACCAGAGTGATCAGACCGGCCTTCTCCACTGACGAATGAGCCTACAGAACAAAACACACTCTCATTCATGATGAACCCCAAGACACTTTCAGAAGGAACCGTCAAAGAGCAGCATTGTGTGAACAGGTCGTTCTGATTGCTGATGAAGCACCTGATCGGAGGCGTATGCGATGAGTCTGGAGTTCAGCACTGACTCGTCCGTGTCGGCATGTGTGCATTCACTCTTCATCTGCAGGATTCGGTCTTTCCTCGCGGCGAGCAGAGCGACCAGCGTACACTCACTGACCGTACTCTACACACAGCAATGACTTACAGACATTTCTACTGTAAAAGTCAACAGAAAACATGCAGATTGGCACGTCAGTTGTGATGTGTGTTTTATACCTGCAGGATTCCTCCTCCGCTGCTCTGTGGATGATGGTGTAAATAATGATCTGGCAACCCGAGCGCTTTACACAACCAGTCCAACACACACATCTCCAGCTCAGTGCACGCTGGACTAGACGCCTGCACAACACACACTATTCAACATGACGTGTAAGGCTGACATAGAGATTGTTGTGTGTGTGTGTATGTTTTTACCCAGGTGAAGCCGAGGCAGTTGATGGCGTCTGCCAGCATGTCACCCAGCAGAGACGGCCATGAGGTGAGCGCAGGGAAATACGCATGCATGTGAGGACTCTGCCAATGAACAACCTACAGACAGACAGGAGCATTACAGCATACTGGAGTTCAACAGGACAGACAGATGCACAGACAGACAGATGGACAGAGAGACAGATAGATGAACAGACAGACGGACGGATCACACAGACAGGAGGAGGGACGGATAGACAGACAGCAGGACAGACAGACAGACGAACAGACAGACAGAGAGACAGACAGACAGATGGAGAGACAGACAGACAGGAGCATTACAGCATACTGGAGTTCAACAGGACAGACAGATGCAGAGACAGACAGACAGACAGACAGACAGACAGACGCAGAGACAGAGAGATGAACAGACAGATGAACAGACAGACAGATGGACGGAGAGACAGACAGATGAACAGACAGATGCACAGACAGACAGACAGATGGACGGAGAGACAGACAGATGCACAGACAGACGGATGGATGGAGAGACAGACAGATGAACAGACAAACAGACGGATGGACGGAGAGACAGACTGAGAGACAGACAGACAGACGGATGGACGGAGAGACAGACAGACAGACAGACGGACGGACGGAGAGACAGACTGAGAGACAGACAGACAGACAGACAGACGGATGGATGGAGAGACAGACAGACAGACAGACAGTCGGACGGAGAGACAGACAGACAGACAGATGGACGGACGGAGAGACAGACTGAGAGACAGACAGACAGATGAACAGACAGACAGACAGACAGACGGATGGACGGAGAGACTGAGAGACAGACAGATGAACAGACAGACAGACAGACGGACGGAGAGACAGACAGACAGACGGGACGGACTCCGGGCAGGATGATGTTCTCCACATCCTTCATGATGCTGCTCCAGTCCTCCGGCTCATACGGAGCGCTGCTGGGCAGCAGAGGACGCATGAAACCCGGCTGAACGTCTGGAACGACCCGCCGCTCACGGATCTGTGTGAGATACTGCTGGATGAAATCCACCATCTCCTTCCCTACACACACACACACACACACACACACACACAACAGAGGAACAGCAACACATTAAACCGCAAACACACTGTGAGAAGATCACTATAAATCACTGCAAATACAAGACTGAACAACATTAGAGAAAAGTTATAAAACAACAGGCGAAGAGCACAGACGCTCAGATATTACAGCAGAACATAAATATGAAACCTATTTAATGCAGTAAAAGATTTCAGAAGATGACAACAGAATACAAACACTTGATTAAAATGTCCTGAATATCATTTACTCTAAGTTTTTGAACTAAACCAGCTGTACAAGGCTGAATAAAGTTAGTTGTGTCCTGTAAAACTATTTAGAACCATTCATATGATTCAGTTCTAATAGACAAGTCAGTACAGAAGCGCCACACTGGCCAGATGTGAAGGTTCCGATCATTACCTCTCATCATGTACTCCTGCGCCTGCATCGCGTCTGTCAGAGGAAGAGAAGATCAGCGAGGATGAGCCGCTTCAGATCTCAGTCTGCTCTTATAGCTGCTGTTGATGGAGCCGCCCACTGACGCAAACACACCAACTACACAAAGACACGCTTGGATTCAGAATGATAGTTCTGCACCTCCAAACACGCATCTGTCTTTATGAGCACTGATACGGCATGAATCAAAAACCAATCCGTATCTGAAATATGTGTGTTTGAAGAGCTCAGAACCTTCCCAATACTGTAATACTTCATCTACAGACGCACAGATACACAGATGCTGTTGCTGGTTCAGACTGTAAAACCCTTTTATTGTGCATTTATTCGGCATATTCAGTTTAAGATGTGTTATAATCTGCCGTCTAGATGTGAACCAGCAGATCGGTGTTGGAGAGATGCTCAGATCCTCCTCAAAGAAAACAAATCCAGCGCTGCTGTCTTTTAAAAGTAAGATGACAGAAATCCTGAAAAATGCATCACAAACAACAAGCAGCAGGAAACTATAAACACAAGAGATTCATGTTGATTATCAGCGAGGAAACGAGTCTGACGATGAAGGATTTGATCAGACGTGCAGATCAAACACATGACATCTGACATTACAGCACAATTAAACCTTCCTCATTCTGGTTTTGAGGGGCTTTTGTCTCTTTATTCAAAGGCCAGTGGGATGTGGGTCAGAATCGAACCTGTGTCGGCCACACGAGCACCACAGCTGAGACACTTTATGACGAGAACTGAAGTAAATGAATGATAATGATCCGGTCAGGTTCACGCTGCTTTCTTCACGCTCTGCCGTGTGATGGCCTCCAGCTTCTGTCTGTACGCCTCCGCCTCCTGCTCCTTCTTCAGGAACTGCTGTCTGTATTTCTGCACCTCACGGTTCGCCTCCTCCAGCTGCTTCAGAAGAGCCACTTTCTCCTGTATCTGTGTGTCTTGTGTTTCTGTCATCTGATCATCTTCTTCTTCTTCCTTCACACACTGACGCTTAACAGACGGCTCGTCGCTGATCACCGTTTCCTCTGCGACCTCTGTGTCCGACACTGTCAGCACTGCAGGAACACACACACACACATTCTGAGAGAGATGCGCAAACACACACACTCTCACACACACACACACACACACACAGACACACACACACACACACACACAGACACACACACACACACACACACAGACACACACACACACACACACACAGACACACACACACACACACACACAGACACACACACACACACACACACAGACACACACACACACACACACACAGACACACACACACACACACACACAGACACACACACACACACACACACAGACACACACACACACACACACACAGACACACACACACACACACACACAGACACACACACACACACACACACAGACACACACACACACACACACACAGACACACACACACACACACACACAGACACACACACACACACACACACAGACACACACACACACACACACACAGACACACACACACACACACACACAGACACACACACACACACACACACAGACACACACACACACACACACACAGACACACACACACACACACACACAGACACACACACACACACACACACAGACACACACACACACACACACACAGACACACACACACACACACACACAGACACACACACACACACACACACAGACACACACACACACACACACACAGAGCCGCGCAAACACACACACATTCTCACACACACACACACACACACTGAGAGAGATGCGCAAACACACACACACTCTCACACACACACTCATGCACACGCACACACACACACACACACACACACACACACACACACAGAGCCGCGCAAACACACACACATTCTCACACACACACACACACACACACACACACACACACTCACACGTTTCCATGTTTTATGGGGACTCTCCATAGGTGTAATGGTTTTTATACTGTACAAACTGTATGTGCTATTGCCCTACACCAACCCTACCCCTAAACCTACCCC